TCCCCTGAGGGGTCCCTGATTGGAGAGGGTGCAGGCTGGGCTGAGGGGAACCCCCCCGCCCCCGCACAAATTTCGTGCACTGGGCCTCTAGTAAATTCAATAAAAAACAATAAATGTCAGTTAGAAATCAGACCTGTGCACAAATAGATTTATTTTTTTATTTACTTTTCAATTACAGTTTACATCAATGTTATTTTATATTGGTTTCAGGTGTGTGCACAAACAGATTTAATTCTTGAGAGCTAAATTCTTAGAGATGTTAGTTTCCCCTTTAGACACCAAAGCCTTTTTTAGTTTTATCCATTTGAAATGGAAATCTTCTGAAAATTTCTGTTGCTCTTTTTCCCACCTTCTCAAATACAGGACTGTTTATCAGACTTATTTTAACCTTTCCATGGGACTCAGGGTCATGCCATGAATATTAATCATGATCACATGCTGGACTGAGTCATCGATGCCCCTAGCCTGTGAGAATGTCACATTCTGTGGCCCTGTACTCATGGCTTCAGGCAACTGCATTTTTAAGGTCTGGTGGCTTTTTAGAGTTGTGCCTTTTTTTTCTTCTTCTTCTATTAGTGTTTCTACCCAGAGAGGTTGCATTTTTCCCTTTTAATTTTCTGTTTCCAGACTATAGTGAACTTAGAAACTAGTCAGTTGGTCATAAATACTGGTAGACTGAGAGCAAGCAAGTGCTGAGGGAGAGTCTAATGATTTTTTTTTTCTAATGGCAATATTCTAATGTTTAGAGTAGTATGAACTTTGTGACTCGATTTTGAGCAGCAAGGATCATGTATTTCTTAGTTCTCAGCTATATTGTCACTGGATAACTGAGTTACTGAAAGGTGCCGTGTCATATGTTTATTTTGCAAACTATCCTGACAAAAGGCTAGGATTTATTCATAATTAGTTATGGTAGGATAAAGAAGGGTTACTAAAACTTAGAAGTCACCTAGTTAAAGGACACTTACCCCATTAACTTTTACTGCATCTCCATCTGCCCATCTGATCTGTTTGACACCACAGTGATGGGCACCATCCCCTTGAATCACCTTCAGCTCTGACACAAGGCTTAGCTGAGCTAGGACCGTTCCAACTTATGAAGGTTGTGTACACAGACTTTTGTGCTCACAAGATGTCTGCTTTGAAGTACAGGCAGATAACATTTTTTATGACAGCAGTGAGAATTGGTACTTTAGCATTTTAAATGGAATATTTGTCTAAGAGACATTCTGGTTTGTGGATATCAGTTATCTGCTTCAAAAGGTGGCTTGGCAGGAAGACTGCCAGAGGTCACTCTCAGGAACATTCTCTCACTAGAGTTATGACTATTAAGACCCACAGTCTTACAGTTATGGAGTTGGTCTTGCAATTATGTTGCATCATCCTGATTATTGTTATATTCTAGAAAGGGATAAAATCCTGTAGAAAACAAAAGATAATAAAAAGTCATCCTCTCAGTGGGGATAAAAGGAGGATATCTGTAATACTTTCAACAGTAAAGATAAATTTAAAAAATAAGTAAATAAAGTCATTCTCCACTTAGACTTTCTTGGCTTATATTCCAGTCTCCAGTCCTGTGGCACAATGTCTTGATCCATTAGGAAGCATCACATGGAGGTCACGTGTCCCTTTGTAAGTTGGACTTACACTGAGAGAGTAGGAGGTAACATGGGGACATGGTCAGGACTTCATTTGCATTACCTGATTTTGAGTATGCCCCTTTAGATTAAATAGTACATTTTAGGAAGCTGCTTGGAGCACCATTTGAACTAATGACCCTTCATTGAAAATCCTGCACGGTATTCCTTTAGAGACTCTACTACTGAATCTTGTCATAAAGTTTCCTCCCAGTGAATCACTTCAGATGTACAGAAATCAAGTAAGATGTCACTTTAATTAGTTAAGGAGATTTATTGGGCATTACCTGAGTGAAGAACTCTATACTAGATCTGGGAGACTGCAGTCTTATTGGGGAACCTTTAAGGGATACATTTAGAAGAATGTATGGTTCAGTTATAGGACCAACCTTAGGCAGAACTGCATTGGATAATCACTTCTCTTGTCACCTGTCTATTGAGTCTTCCTTGGGTAATGTGGGATGTACAGTGCCAAAGGTCATGAGTTAAATGTTTAAAACTAGAAATACAAACTTACCAGCAGGGATTAGCCTGGTGGCAATGACACTAGGAGTGATTCTGAAGGGACAGAAGGCTTAGATAAGCAGAGAAGATGGGAAGGAGCATCAGGAGAGGAAGGCATAAGTGAGAACAGTGTGCTCGTGGGCCAGCCAGGGCATCAGCACGACCTGGGCACAGGATGGAGGCAGACTGCTGGTGAGGCTCGAACACAAGGAATGTGTTTGAGGCTTGACAATGATAATTGAGAGCCATTGAAAATGTTGGGTAAAAAAGTGTTATGATTAAAACCATTCTGAAGAAAGATCTGTTTAGTATGTAAAATTAATGAACTAAAGGCAATAGAGGGACTGCTCTAGTAATCATGCCATAGGCTTCGAAGGGCCTAGACTATGATAGAAGTGCTAAGAATAGAGAGGGAAAGAAGTAATATACAACATATTTTATTTTTATATCTGAAGAGGCCGTATAATTAAAGTTTAGTTACAGTTGAGATTGTAAGGGACCCAGAGAGGACGGGGCATTAGGAAAGAATAGGAAGGACGAGGGAGTATGTGCAACATGGGGACATGTTTGTAATTTAATAAAATAAAATAAATTTTCATGGCTTCCTCAAAATTTGGCTTGGGGTTGAAAGAAGGTAAGAGAAGCCTTGAATTTACTTGTAGTTTTGAGACTGTTTCAAGGAGAACTTTTTTCTTGCTTTATTATCAATGGCATAACATCATTCTCTGATACCCGAACCAGGGTCCAAACTGGAAATCTAATTTTGTCTTTACTCTTTTCCTTAATCTCTATACCCAAAATGATACAGTCTACCTTTTAAATGTCTGCTTTATCATTTTCCTGTCCTCAGAATTCCTAATGCCTCTATCCAAGCCCACTTATGCTTGCATTTCTTCAACTGAATAGTGATAACATCTTACAGGTACTTATGTGAAAGGGGGTAGTTCATGTTACAATTTAAGAAGAGAGACATAAAATTTCCATTTATGAATAAAACTCTATTTTCTCTAGCTAAAATTTAAAATTTTATTTTCTGTAACTATCAAAGTTAAAATAGTTGTCTGACTATTGCATTCTGAAAGGAGGCCACTCACCAGAAACTATGTTCAAAATCTAATCCAAGTGATGAATCTGCACATATTATAAAGGATGAGGAGGGCATCTCAATTGTACCAAGGGTGTGGAGAGTGAAAAGTTAAACCTACACTTTGATTGCCATTGATAGGGCCCTTCCTGAGCCTGTATCTTTCAAGAAGATCATTCCTTTTGGAGAAAGAGCAAGTTGGGCTACCGTAATTTGATTCTTGGAAACTTCTGAAGTTTTGGGCATTATTTATTTCATTAGTTCTTGTTCCATTAGTTAGAATGAAGTACAGGAGACAGAGAGCTTCTGGCCATTAGGAAAATCAGGACAACAAATCACTTTCCCCCCCACATATATGTTCTTTATTTACTTCCCTGGAACATCGTAAGTGTTGTTGGATTTATCAACTGTATTTTGTACTTGCAATATAGTTTACCTAAAGCAATGTGGTAACCACAGAAGTATTGAAGTATTTTGAGATTATCAAATATGTCATAACATAAGTCTAATGTAATAAAAATAATTGCATTCTGACACCATTTCTAAAAAATTAGGCCAGGTTATGATGCTAAGGACAGCATTCCGGATATGATTCTTATCCTTATATCTGTGGTTTAGCACAGCCAATCTGAATGTTTACGATGTGATTTCCAGCTTGTAAGAATATCTGTTATATTTTTCAGCTTCTCCTGTCGGCAACGGTTATATCAAGCCTCCAGTTCCACCTGTGTCTGGTACACAAAGGGAAAAAGGGCCACCAACCATGTTACCCATCAATGTGGACCCAGACAGCAAACCAGGGGAATATGTCCTCAAGAGTTTATTTGTCAACTTCACCACCCAGGCTGAGCGCAAGATTCGCATCATCATGGCAGAACCACTGGTGAGTGTGCCCTGTGATGCCTGTTTCTCCTTAAATTAATCTTTACCTTGAACAGAGGGGACTTTACAGCTCTAAGAAATGATGGATTGCTTTTCCCCTAATTTCCAGAGATTTTTTAAATACCATTAGTAAATTTTGAAAGATTGTAGTTAAGTTTCCTAATTTAATTAAAAATAAATATTGAGGGTTGAAGACTTTAAAACAATCCTCAGGAAATACATTTCAGTAGCACATTTTATTACTAAGTTTAAGACTAATCAGCATAATTGAACAATAAGAAGTATTAATCGTAGAAAAATTGTGTTCAGTCTCTATGCTGACATACTTTAGTCAATGTCTTTTGTCCTGTTCTTAGAGTAAATGAGGGAGAAAAAACAAAAACCATTGTTGTTCAAGTGTCTTCCTGGACTGTCAGTTTGAGAACACATGGTCTCAGTGATATAGGGTTTGAGGAGGCTTTTTGGTGTGTCATTCAGAAACACCACTTTGTTTTCTGAAAATTGGAAGATAGGACATTCTTGACTCATTACCTTTAGGTCCCTTAGTATATGATGCCCTTAGACATCGGCGTCTTTCTTTGCAGCTAACTCTGCCACAAAATAGGTCATGTGTTGTGGCCATGTGTTAATTGCTCTCACAAGTGCTGGTTCTAAAAAGGACCGTCTGCAAGGAAGTCCAACTGGTTTTCTGACCTTGGCCACACACAATGAGAGAAAAGGAGAGAAATTCAGAGTAACGCAGCTCTCTCTGTGAAGCTGACCTTTGTTCCTCCTGTGGGGATATGAGGCACGAAAAGTCTGAAGTTTGTTTTGCAGCATCATAGCTTAAAATAATTAAATATAACGTTATTGAGCCAAAACACAAGTCTCTAAAAATATGTAACAATGTAAGGGTTGGGGATCAGAATTCAAGAATATTTAAGTGTGTGGTTACCTAGAAGTTACACACTTTGCATTTTCAAGTTTGTATTAGATCAGTGGAGGTTATTTTTATGAATTCTATCTTCTTATGGAAGATGTTCCTTGGTTTTGCCCTTTAAATCATTTAAATTAAACCTTACTACAGTACCTTTTCCCCATTCACTCATGTTTTTATGTTTCTACTATTCTTGTAACTAATAATAATAGCTAATAATTCTGAAGTAGTTACTATGTGCCAGGCACTGTGTTGAACATACTGTCTCCTTTAATTTTCACAATGGTCTTAGGTAGTATTTCTATTCATGTTTACAGATGGGAAAAGTTAGAACAGAGAGGGTAAAGTAATTGCGCAAGGTCACAAGTATTAATTTGAATTTAAGCTGGGTGACCTCACAGCCAATCTCTGAACCATTCTACACTTTATTAACAGTCTGCATGGTCATCTTTGTTTAAGGATACCTTAGTTAACTTCTTTAAAAAAAAAACATATTTTTATTGACTTCAGAGAGGAAAGGAGAGAGATAGAAACAACAGTGATGACAGAGAATCATTGATCAGCTGTTTTCTGCATGCCCCCTACTGGGGAACGAGCCCACAGCCTGGGCATGTGCTCTGACCAGGAATTGAAGTGTGACCTCCTGTTGACACTCAACCACTGAGCCAAACTGGTTGTGCTTTAACTTCTTAAGACAAATCAACACAGGCTCTTCTATACCAGCCTACCATAAATCATGTATTTAAGTTTCCATTGCCCAAAACAGTGCTGTACTTGGAACCCTCTGAGCTCCTTGAGAGTTGCTGAGGCAGCCCAGACTCCCACCCTCGTGGATGGTGGAAGCTGCCTCAGCTCTAGTGGTCACTGGGGAGTTTGAGGAGGATAGAATGGCAAGGCCTATCACACTCCTTAGCATTGGAAAATGCCAAAATGGCTGGTCAGGGCTCTCTGAAGTTGTGATCATGGGAATTTTCCCGAGGGACTGAGAAATTGTACCAAAGTTAAAAGACATGATTAAAAAGTTAGGTTCTGACACCTTTTGAGTCATCCCTGTTTCCAAAATAATAGCTTAATTACTGTTATTAAAGAATTTATTAAGTCAAATAGTTTGGGTTTAACTTTTCAACTTTACTCAGCTTGGAATTTGTTTGTATTTTTCTTCGTGGAGTAAATATTATGTCTGAAAAACAATGTTTTCCACAGCATTTTTTAAATTAGAAGTTGATGTTTTTGTTCCTTTCTGTGAGACAACTTAAATGTCCCCAAATAAGAAAAATTGAAACATGAAAGCACGCTCTATCCAGCCAATCTTTTATCGGACGAGAGACTCTACTGGATGCTAATGGCAAACTAGATGAACATTATGTTTCTAGCTAAAGAAATATATTCAAATCAATTTTTAGTATCATTGCTTTTTATAAAAAGACTAGAGGCCCAGTGCACAAAAATCGGACGAGCTGGATGCTAATGGCAAACTAGATGAACATTATGTTTCTAGCTAAAGAAATATATTCAAATCAATTTTTAAATTTTTAGCTTTTTATAAAAAGACTAGAGGCCCAGTGCACAAAAATTTGTGCACTGGCGGGGGGGGGGGTCCCTCAGCCCCACTAGTGCCCTCTCACAGTCTGGGACCCCTCGGAAGATAATGCCCTGCTGGCTTAGGCCTGCTACCGGGTGGCAGAGGGCAGGCCCTATCCCCAGGTGCAGCCCCTGGTCTGGCTCAGAGCAGGGCCGATTGGGGAGTTGGGTCACCACCTTCTGTCATGCACAGAGCAGGGCGGATCGGGAGGTTGCGATGCCACCACCAGTCATGCTCAGGGTAGGGCCGATTGGGGATTTGGGTGCCGCCCCCTGTCACACTCAAGGCAGGGTCGATGGGGAGGTAGCCCCGCCACCCCCTGTCACACACAGAGCAGGGCCCATGTGGGGGTTGGGGCGCCACACCCTGTCACACACAGAGCAGGCCCATCAGGGGTTTGGGGAGCTCCCCCCTATCAGGCACAGAGCAGGGCCAATCATGGGGTTGGGGCGCCTTCCCCTGTCACGAACAGAGTAGGGAGGATAGGGAGGTTGTGGCCCCACCCC